GAGCTGCAACTGAGCTGCAGCTCATTCACCAACTTCTTTCACAACCTCTTTGGTACGTAGCTTTCCACTGTCCTGCTACTGTACCTTCTTTGCATACGTACTTGGGCGTTCCGATCCGTCCGTCCTTTGCTAGCCAACACCTGCAGTAGCTATGAGTCGGATTGAACAGAAATATCTTGTTGACAATTGTTTTGCCAGTCCAAACAACCAACAAAACCAATCAAGGTGGATTGTTGTGTGAATCACGCAGCAATTGCTCTGGGACAGCTTCAACCTACTGAAGCGGGTGGCAGTAAGTCGGAAAGGATACAAATAAATATAGTCTTAGTTCTTGGAGTTTATTCTACTCCAAAGTTCTCGTGCTTCTTCAAAGTCCGGTTCGTTCATTTCCTCGGTGTCCCCATCAGAGTAGACTATATGATACCGCGTATAATTCTTTCCATTCTCCGCAGGCACTGTTGTTTTTCCGTGCAGCATACCAAAATAGATATCACCCTCGAATTCTTTGGCAATGCAGTTTTTTGTTGATACGGCGCCACTTTGAAAGTCAAAGTAAAGGTTTCGCATGTGGGACAGCTCCCTTGCACCAACAGCCTTGGTTTCGTCGTCCTCAAATTGGAGGGTGTATAAAATCTTCCCTGACACCTTCTTCTTACCGATTATCTTACCAAGAGTTATCTTGGTGAATCTGCTATCCTGTCTGGCCACAGGTTTGCCTTTTGCTTTCTTTTCATCAAAAAGGTAGACCGATGGTATGGATCCTGGGTTCCAAACATCGTTCAAGGAACCGTCTGCCAGCTGTATTCCATAGTTCAACGCCAGGAGTAGCCTAGGCTCAGTCTCATGATTGTTTCCCATTCCTCGGTGAAAGGTTTCCCAGCTAAAGACGACCGCGTCTCCGATATTTTGGTAGGTTGCTGTGTATATATTTGAATCCTCAAAATCAATGCAGGGCGTCCCAGCTTTCTCCGCTTTGACCACTTCCTCGCATGAATGTGCGTCAGTCAGAAAACCAGTCCCACCCATACCTTTGTGGTGTGTCAATGCAACTAGCACCACAATATCGCCCGTCTCTCGCAGGTCAGTGTGCCATTGTTGTATTGATCCCGTGTGGGGTTCGACGTAGATAATGCTTTTATTTATCATGACCACATCTTGGCACATACCTATGTTTTGTGCAAGCTGTTGCACCGTTTTGTACCACGGTGCTTTTTCTTCACAACCAACAACACCTTGCAAACCGCTTCCCCACCACCAGGAGCCATGTGGTGAAAGTTCAAATCGATTTCCGGATGCAGACCATATTTGTTGGGTGTATTCGCCATTTTTGATTCGATTCCAATAGCCATTCCTTGTGGCCTCGTCTCTTATCATGTTGAAGTATAACACGCATTTGGGAGCTGCATTTTCCAAAGTTCTTGCTGTGTCCGCATCCACACCAGTCAGATGAAATGCCTCTCCACATTCAACTTCTATTCGATCCGAATTTCGATATTCACGTCTGCAAAAGATGGTGGATTGTGGAGCCTCGTTTGTTGCGACTTCCGGAAACGCTTCCTCGCTGCAGTTACGCCTCTCACAGGTGTGATCAGGTATTTCTGATGTCACTTCCTCCCTGTATCTGCTTTCCCCAAGCGGCACCAACCGTTTTCGAAATTCGCATTGATGGCATTTTGCCTGCCATATCCTTTCTTTTGCATCACGTCTTACTTTGCCACCACCAGTGTTTTTGCTGAAACCACACTTTGCAAGAAAGAGCTCCTCTGGCCCGATGACGATGTGTCAGGTAGGTTGCCAGTTGTGCACCGCTCGTCTTTTTTTCTCTGGTTGGAGCTCCATCATGCTGGTCTCCGGCAGTCATCCTTTACGACTTCTTCTTGTTTGCGGGTGATCGGAGTTTGCAACACGGATGATCGATGGTGCTACAATCTGTTGAATTGGAAATGCCCCGACGTGACTAGTACTGTGATAAGGCGCCCGATGATTCTGGCGGTGAATCATCTGTTGCTGCTGCAGATGCTGGTCGTGGTTTTGGTTTTGGTGCGGGAATGGAAATGGTTGATGGTTGTGTGTTGCCATAGGTGGCATAGGATACACATTCCAGCGGTACAAATTTGGATTGTATCCAGGAGTGTTGTAGTATGAACTCATTCTGATAGCGGTACAGTAAGGATACTACCGCATATTCCTAATGTCGAAGTTTGATCATTTCTTTTATTATATTCGGATTGTACTCACGATTTATGTTCAAGCGTGCAAGATGCTGCTGATTTAACAACAACATTCATTACATATATATGTCGGGCATTACCGGCCATAGGAGTGATTGGCAGATTTGTCGTTGGCAGAGTCTATTTTATTTTATTTCAATAGGTCAGGCATTACCCAATTAGCAGCGTGTTGCGCATGTCGGCCAAGGCAAGTTCAATGGGTCTTATATAGTATATTCATTATATATGTCGGGCATTACCGGACCTGGGAGTGATCGGCGCCAGGCGTCTTTTTTATTTAAGTTATAGGTGGGGCATTACCCGACTACCAGCATTGTGCGCGTGTCTCCCGGAAGCGCAAGTATAAGTGACGGTTTGTTGGTCGAAAATGTTTTATATACCTAATAATAATGATGGCATTCTGGGGGATTTTGTTCTTTGGTCTCCATACACTCCAATAGTTTCAAATACATCTGGCAGTCAAGCTAAAGTCACTTGGGTCAAAAGACAAATTAAAACCTGACCTCTTTGATCACGCTATCAAGCAGTTGAAACCACCAAAGGATATTTGTAACCCAAGCGTAAGGTCACTTTCCGATACCTGACCTTGGGGATATGGATGCTGTCTCTAGGAACCTCCTCGATATTCAGCAACGAGCAGTACTAGTGAAGCAATATGGTGTTGCGCTTTCAGTGTATTTGTGTTATGGAATTGCGTCAATGGAACTATTCCGGTACATTGTAGGCCTTCATGAACTTGTGGCAAGTCATACTAGGGCGATACGAACAGAAGGTCTTTCCAATGCAGAGAGACAGGCAAAAGCTGACACCGCGGTGACGGAATTTTCAAAATACAAGGTTGGTGGCTCAAATTCAATTAGTTGGGACTTTGATTGAAGCGAATGATACGAGCAAGCGCAAGAAAATGTATCATGTATAATTATTTTATATAATGGTAATGCCTGCAGTTACTGTTCTTCTGCCTCAACCTTTCGCTTCTTTGGTCT